AAATGATGACTAGCTGAATGTTCCTTTCTTTGAACTGAGTGAGTCACAGTAAATGATGACTAGCTGAATGTTCATTTCATAGAACTGAGTGAGTCACAGTAAATGATGACTAGCTGAATGTTTATTTCATAGAACTGAGTGAGTCACAGTAAATGATGACTAGCTGAATGTTCATTTCATTGAACTGAGTGATTCAGTGAATGATGACTAGCTGAACGTTCATTTTATAGAACTGAGTGAGTCACAGTAAATGACGACTAGCTGAATGTTCATTTCATAGAACTGAGTGAGTCACAGTCAATGATGACTAGCTGAATGTTCCTTTCATTGAACTGAGTGATTTACAGTAAATGATGACTAGCTGAATGTTCCTTTCATTGAACTGAGTCACAGTAAATGATGACTAGCTGAATGTTTATTTCATAGAACTGAGTGAGTCACAGTCAATGATGACTAGCTGAATGTTCCTTTCTTTGAACTGAGTGAGTCACAGTAAATGATGACTAGCTGAATGTTCATTTCATAGAACTGAGTGAGTCACAGTGAATGATGACTAGCTGAATGTTCATTTCATAGAACTGAGTGAGTCACAGTGAATGATGACTAGCTGAATGTTCCTTTCATTGAACTGAGTGATTTACAGTAAATGATGACTGGCTGAATGTTCCTTTCATTGAACTGAGTGAGTCACAGTGAATGATGACTAGCTGAATGTTCATTTCATAGAACTGAGTGAGTCACAGTAAATGATGACTAGCTGAATGTTCATTTCATAGAACTGAATGAGTCACAGTCAATGATGACTAGCTGAATGTTCATTTCATTGAACTGAGTGAGTCACAGTAAATGATGACTAGCTGAATGTTCATTTCATAGAACTGAATGAGTCACAGTCAATGATGACTAGCTGAATGTTCATTTCATTGAACTGAGTGAGTCACAGTAAATGATGACTAGCTGAATGTTTATTTCATAGAACTGAGTGAGTCACAGTCAATGATGACTAGCTGAATGTTCATTTCATTGAACTGAATGAGTCACAGTCAATGATGACTAGCTGAATGTTCATTTCATAGAACTGAGTGAGTCACAGTCAATGATGACTAGCTGAATGTTCCTTTCATTGAACTGAGTGAGTCACAGTCAATGATGACTAGCTGAATGTTCATTTCATTGAACTGAGTGATTCAGTGAATGATGACTAGCTGAATTTTCATTTCATTGAACTGAGTGATTCAGTGAATGATTACTAGCTGAATGTTCATTTCATTGAACTGAGTGATTCAGTGAATGATTACTAGCTGAATGTTCATTTCATTGAACTGAGTCACAGTGAATGATTACTAGCTGAATGTTCATTTCATTGAACTGAGTCACAGTGAATGATGACTAGCTGAATGTTCATTTCATTGAACTGAGTGAGTCACAGTGAATGATGAATATTGTATTGTGCCATGTGCAATATTTCATTTTATGTCATTACTATGGTGCATATCATTCACAGTCATGTCATGTAGTGTGAAATTTTACTGTATGATATGGTGCAGTAAATGTCAAAATATTTATATTCAAACAGTAAACAAAGAAAAACATATCATGCAGTGGTACCTATTTTATTTTACGTCCACCAATGTGCTCAGACATTATTCATTATCAAATTAGCATACATGTAGTTTCATAAAATTATGATTTTCAATCATTTTGGCACTTTATTATCACTTCAGTTGCACTTAATCATAGAGCTGGTCGATATTCATGGAATCATGGACTTTATTATCCACTCACCTTTGAATCTAACTCATTACTTGATTTGTGTCAATCAGTGCTATAAGCTAGTGATATCAGGTGATAAACTGGACTTGGCAATATGGAATAATGACACTTAGATCCACTATATGCAAACCATGCATTTTTCCCAGGTAATAATTGGAGTCTGAATGGCAAATTTTATAGGAAAAATATATTGATCTGTGTATCCATGAACAAGCATGGACTTATATTCCTTTTTGTTTTCTTCTTTTCAACCTGCCTATAGGTATGCATAATGGAGAGTGGTTATTTATTTCTTGGCTCCAGACTTGGAAATTCATTACTGTTGAAATATGTTGAGAAAGCACAGGAGTCAACTGATTCAGGTAAGCAAAAATAACAAGAACACAACCATAATTTTCAGACTCAAAATAAAAGTAAAAGCTCAGCTCCATTAAAAGGCATTAAAATGTATCATATAATAAACAATGCATTTGTGTACACATGTGTATGCATTGCTGTTTGTAGTATGGGACCCATATCAATTAGTTGTTTTGTGTCTTAAAAAAATAATTATTATTTTTGAATTTAAATACCATAGGAAAGATCATGAGCATTGTACTAAAACTGTTTTTTTTTTTTTGGTGCAGTTACCAATGGAGCAAAGAAAACTGAAGAAGATGAAGAAACAAATAAGGTATATTCTGATAATTTGCTATATCGACTCTTCTAACCTTGTCTAATTTTACATTGAGCTGTGAAGCTTATATTTAGACAGAGGGTTTAATCATAATCCTACATGTACATTTATATGCACAGTGTTTCACCAGTTGTTAGTGATATATTTCATTGTGTTTAGAAAGAGCATTTATCTTGAAAAAAAAATGGATGGTCTGGTATGATATATTGTGTATCAAGTGTAGGTACAAAAAACTGTTTTTGCAATCACACAGCTTTCACTGTATTTATATCTTGCAGGAAGAACCACCCAATAAGAAAAAGCGAACTGATGATGCCAGTGACTGGATCGGTATGTTTACTGAGTCTATAACTTACACTGTAACATGAATACATTGTTTCAGGGCAGGTATTTTTACTTTACAGCTGTTTGTATCATGATTTGTAATTATTATTACATAATACTTTGTTACCAGCATCGGATGTTGCATTATTAGCTGAAGATGTAGATGAATTAGAAGTATATGGAAGTCAAACACAAGCTGGGACCCAGCTAACATCATATACATTTGAGGTATGTTACACAATGCTCACCATAAATGCCAAATGCCAATGAATCTTGATATTTGCATATTATCCAGTTACTTTTAAAATCAACTTCTAATTAGTATTTATATTTTTATGCATGAGGAAAGGTTGTTCAATACTGCATATGTGGACTGAACATTTTGCCACATAAACAATATTCCAAGTTTAGGACAATGTGATGGCTGTGTAACCATCCTCCTATCATAATAACATTATGGCGCATTTAAATAATTTGGCTATTCCAACGTAAACCTGGCCAGTACCTGTAGACCTTAACTAAGGTTCCCATACAAAATCACATCTGTCAGTGAATAAATCTTAAACAGTTGATTCGAACATAGGCCTTCTCCTAGCTTTATGATTTTGCCTTTGTATTGAGACTGTGGCACACTAATCACTGTCATCGGTTGACCTGCCAGGTATTAATAATAGTGTCAAAACCCCAGCTTGAATTTGAACTTAGTATTACCAGTGATTATGTTGACCTTGTAGGTGTGTGACAGTATTATGAATATTGGACCATGTACAAAAGCAGTAATGGGAGAACCAGTATTTCTATCTGAGGAGGTATGTAGAAAAATCCAGTGTAGACCAGGTTCTACAAGACTCAACTTTTAATTTCAACCTGCTATTTTTCCTTTTGCTGTCTACCTGTAAAGTTGGGCACTTACTCTGATACTCACTAAACAACTCCATGAAAGATGTTTTTTTGTTGTATAAATGATAATCTGAATTTCCTGTCAGCAGCTTTCAGTCAAATATGGAAATATACACAGAAAAAGAGTTTTATGTATAACGCAGATACATGAATTTATTGTCTTTCTATTTTGTTTGTTTTTTATAGTTTCAGACAAATCCTGACCCAGACATGGAATTGGTGGCACTTTCTGGATATTCCAAAAATGGTGCTCTCTCAGTTTTACAGGTCTTGTTAAATATTAATATAATTTATTTTATATTTTCTTTTTAAATAAGAATATGTAGTGTTAAAGTCAGTTTGCAATCTTGTCTTTGAAGTCCACGTGATTAAGATAATTTGGTGTTTTCTCTATTCATTCGTTCAGAGTTTGTGAGTCTGTATTTGATTGTTTTGATAGCCTGTTTACATACTATCTTTTTAGAAATGATGCCTCGTCCAGTATGGCACTATGAACTGTCATTATTGTTATATTATAATCACTCAAAAATGGAGTAATTGTCAAATATTTATGGTAAAAATTATTTTACAGAGGAGTATTCGGCCGCAGGTGGTGACCACATTTGAGTTGCCCGGCTGTATTGATATGTGGACTGTCGTAGGACCACCTGAGAAAGAAAACAAGGTAGGTTATTATTATTATCACTACTGACATTACTTTATATGCCTCTGTGATTCAGCTCCATTGTCAAACAATTTAGTATCGACAACCAAAGACGATGGAAGTGTTTCAATGCTGGCACTACCATTGCAAAAAATCACTTGTATGTTTGACAATTATCTGTTTTTGCCAGGACCAACCAAAGGAGAAAACAGAGGAAGAAGGAGATAAAAAGCCTGATGCATTGACGAATGGGCATGCATTTTTGATACTGAGCAGAGATGATTCTAGTATGGTAAGTTTTAAACTACACGTGATCTCCTATAGTTAACATGAATAACCTCTATCTATTCATCTGCATGTTAGTTTGTGTTCATTTATGTGGAACACAAGATGTACCTTTATCAATCTCAAATTACACTGTGGGCATAGAATGTGACATTTACAATATTTAGAAAGAACCTCTCAAAAAAGTTTTGAACTGATACACACAATGACCAAAAGACAAATAATTTTTAGCTCCGCTGTCGACTTTGTCGAGCGGAGCTTATCATATGAGTGATTGTCCGTCGTCGTCCGTGTCAATGTTTTACTTTTTCGACTTCTTCTTGAAAACTACAAGCCTGAATGCTTTGATACTTGGTGTATATGTACCTTGGGTAGACCTCTCTCAGATTTGTTCATTTCATGATGATATCTTCAATTCTCTATTTTTGGTGAATATTTTT